TAAAACTGATAAAAATGATAAAGGTTCTAACCCCTGTAACTTCAACATACCTACATATTATATTGGGTATTTAGTAGTTTTTTAATTAATGCTAAAAGAAAAAGGTTGTAAGGCAATATAATAAGTAGTAAGTACTATGAAATTATTAAAACATTTAAGAATATTGTAATAGTTTTACAGCTTTTATTCATAACATTATAATATGGACATTCTTTTTTTATAAATAATTTGAATAAAAATATATGTGCAAGTATATAAGTATACAATATACATTAATAAATAATAACATACCCATTGACACTCTCCAGTAAGATTTGTWGCAAATAACATATGAATAAAAGTTGCCTTCATAATATGTTGAAGACCAATATTGATGGATAAATAGAATTCATCAGTACCATTGTCTAATTCTTCAAGCCATTTTCCAATTTCTAATACTTTCAATTGTCCTAATTTGGACTCATCCTTATGGAACAATTCATAGCCAATAATTAAATTACCTACATACCTAAACATAAGAAATAAAACCAAATTATACATAAATGTACATAAAATACATTAAGTATATATAATTTGTTGAGGTGGGTGGGGATTGGACTGTACGAGGGGTGAGTGATCAAAAAAATAGTAGCCACATCTGCTAAATATGTCTGAGCACGCCTATATGTATTTGTATCATATTCATCAACAATAAATAGAAATAAAATAGAAATATTAATGATTTTTTATTATATATTTTAGTTATACACAAGTCAATGTTTAGGGTAGTTTTGTTTATAATGAAAATAAAGAATATACCTATGRTATAAGATTAAAGTTTTATTTCAAAAATAGTATTTTTATCATTTACCTTTCAATTGTAAACTCGGTTGAAGATATATTTAAGTTGTATTCTCCATATTTATCATGTATCGATGAAATCATATTTTTCTTGTTATTTGGTTTWATATTCCAGGTAAATAAACATTGAAGATTGTTAATTTTGTTCGCAGTATTGGTTTTGTTGGAATTTTCTACCGTTTTGCATGCTAGTTGGTTTTCTCCAATAGAACTTACTTCACTTTTAGTATCATCAAAGTTGTCAACTGAAGCACTATCATTTAAATATTCTGGATGTGCATCATCAGTAGGCATTGACTCAATACCATCAATAATATTATCTAATGACACAGAACAACTAATACTATTATCTAATATTTCTTTGACGTTATCCTCATTCAAAGAAGTAAGCATGTCCTGGACATATTCTTTGGTGATTTTTTCTGGTCCACAWTTCACGGGCTTCAATTCCTTCTTGACTTTACTACCAGATTCATCAATAAGGGATTTAAACATTGAAGTAAACATTTTTATTGTTATGTCGATAGCGCCTATTTTAAACAAATTAACGCATTTAGTTGATTAATATTCTCATGAAAAATATTTTAATTCATTTTGTAGATACTTGAGATTAACTATAAATATTGAATGGAAACGTTTTCACGTCTCGCCATCCACGATTCACCAATTAAGAATCAAATTAGTAACTAAGTAATAACTATTAACTAATATTAAGTAGTACATTAGTATAACTATTGTATTGTAATAATTGAACAGTGATAAACAYGGTCTTAAAAAGTTAAAACATAAGCCACAAAAAACATGGATATGTTTTTATCCATATCTGTGGATATAGCTGATAAGTTTATACTGCTACCAGTGCTACCTGATAAGTGATAACTGAATAAAATTACCACAATCGTCAAAAATGCATAGCAATTATAACTTATAAGGTCTATGGAAAAATTAATAAGATTGTTTATTTTTTTATGATCGTCGAGCTATATTATTATAATTATAAATCATAATTAATTGACGAGGCATGACGTCTAATGTCTATTGTAATTTGTAATATGTGAT